TTGGGATCCACCATACCTCCAACTTCCGCCAGCCTTCCAAGTTCCGACAGCCTCATCATCAGCCTCCACCAGTCAGAAGACCGAAGCCCTTTCAAAGGACCCGCTTGGATCGATTCATCCCCTCGACGGGTACCCAACCTACTCGCTTTGTCCTGAGCATGAGGCTTTGAATCTAGAGGTAGCCGCACCGAAACCTCGCCCAGACGCACACCATCAACCTCGTCCCAGCTTGACGACCGACTTGCTTCATCCTGAGCACGAGGCTTTGAATCTATTGGTAGCCGCGCCGAAACCTCGCCCAGACGCACACCTTTTCATTTTTTTAAATTTTTTATTTGATAATCATTGTCTCCCGCATCTCAGCTAAAATCCTCATGTTTTGTTTTATTTTTAAAAAAATTATTAAAGAAAAAAAAAAAAATTAAATTTTGCTTTTATTTTTTTAAAATGTCAAGCAATGACTTTCCCTATTCTATTGTTTCATACTCTTTTTTATCATCTCCCTATCTACCACTCCCCAAAAAATGGGAAATAAAGAATGTATATATTTTTTTTAAATTAAGTAAGTCAACTGCCATAAACATCTGGGAGGAGACTGTACATGTACCTCGCCGGCTGGAAGGATTTCCTTCCAGTCAACGAGGTACATGTACCTCGTCAACCAGAAGAAACCCAGCCGGCGAGGTACATGCCTCATTGACTGGAAGGGTTTCCTTCCAGCCGGCGAGGTACATATACCTTGTCAACTGGAAGAAACCCAGCTGGCGAGGTACATGCCTTGTCGACTGGAAGGGTTTCCTTCCAGCCGGCAAGGTACATATACCTTGTCGACTGGAATAAACCCCTTCTGGTCGACGAGGTACATGTACCTCGTCGACTGGAGGGATTTCCTTCCAGCCGGCCATCCCCCCTTCTGGCCTTGGGTATCCTTTGGGATACCCGGATACCCGCCCAAATTTCTGGCAAAAGGGCACATCCGAACCCCAATCCGTATCCCCTGGCGGGTATCCGCCAGGGGATAGCGGGTATCCGCAACGGATACCCCGCGACCATCTCTAGGGTTGATGGCGGTGGATTTTGAAAACCTGTCAATTAATAATTGTGGATTTCAAAACATTAATTGACGGGTTTGCAAAGGTGGATGATACCCCCTAATGTCAAAAAACAATGAAAAAAAGCCATTAACAATAGGGTAGAGATTGTTTTGTGGGACTTTTTTCAGGTACCTGGTACCCCTCGCACCTGCCAGGAGGTGCCAGGTGTCTGTTTTTGGGAAAAAAAAACAGGAGGTACCCCAGGTACCAATGTGACATGTGATGTTACAGTGCATTCACAGAATGTGATGCAACCCTCTTTGTAGTGCCTGTTGTTTGCTGGTCACTATTATTATCTCTCAAAATATGGGAATATCCCAGCCAAGCTCAATGATCGTGCTGTTTCCATCTGCTAGTTCAGTGCTGATGTGGTCAACTTTTCTCATACCCAAATTTTAATGCTTTGTTTTGATATCAGCAAGCTGGTGGCTGATCAGCAAGCTAGCTAACAAGCTAGACATGAGCTTGAACCATCCTTATAATCAATCTTCAAAATCACAAGCTTCACTTTGTTTTTCCAATTGGAAGCTCCTAACAAGCTTTTGCAATACAAAAAAGATTATGTAAATCTTTGATCTTGTTCACTCTTGACAAGGCCCAGAATTGGTATGTAATGCATCAGCCAAAAAAAAAAATAAAGATCTGATAGAGTAATCCACTTTGAAGAACCTCATCAATCCTTCTGATCAAACTGTAAATCATGCTAGGAGACACTTTGTCATTCCCTCATCTTCTGCTTCTGTGCTGTTATCCCAGGTTGTTTCATAGGTTGGGCTATTGCAGCTCTCTGTAGCACAGATTTTCTCAGAATATGTATATGGTCTGCTAAACCCACCTTGATTGTCATCATCAGCTCTTATTAAATATCTATTTTGTTTTGTCAGATTTTCTCATTCATCCGTTCCATAGAAATTACATATTGCCAATTGCTGGAAATTGTTCAAAAAAAATATCACAATAAGTCTGCATTGGCTGAGTGAAGGAGATGCATCAGTGAGCATGGTGGAAGCTTGTGATTGTCTCTTGGAAAGCAGGGGTGAAATGTGAACTCTTGCAAGGAGGATCCGAGGTTCATTAGACAAAAACAGAGTGATTTAAAGAGACGGGAACAAAATACAAGGAAGAGAGATGAAAAATAGAGAAAGAAGATCGAGTGAATCAATGATTGTCAGGAGCAGGGTCATCGGGGACAAATTTCCTCTTTTTTTCGTTGAGTTTCTTGGTCAAGACCGGGTTGGCTCTGGATTCCTCAGCCGGAGGCTGATCCTGCGCCTTATTGAGTTTCCTCAAGTTACTGACAATTTCTCTACCTTCGGCTTTCTTCGATTCATCTGCTCGTTCACTCTTTGTCCGCGCTTTCTTCTTGAAATATTCGCCCGATTCTAGCTCCAAGTCGATCTATACATGCATTTTTGGAGTCCGTTGAGAGGAGGTAATTTCATAAGGTCAGAACAGCACGGAAGATCCTCGAAAACCATAATCGGCTTGATTGTTAGTTAGCGCTTACCTTTCTAGGCATTTGAGGAGGAGGGAATGGGGTATATTTCTTCTTCTTCTTCTCTTGCATTGATTTTTGTTTGGCTTGCTCTGATCGGAACGCCGCAGCTTGTGATGTATCTTGGACTGATCGTCCAACACTCGGCTGTTCCTCGGACACTTTGGCTGCCTTGGCTTGCTTCGCTCGTTTTCTCTTGGTGAAATTTGGTAGAAATCGGTCCCAATTCTCTTCAGCTAACTTGGGATTTTTGGCTAACTCTCGTTTGATCATTAATTCCTGGTGCGGTGGTTTAAAAAAATGATAGTGAAATTAATTCCAAGGGTACCGCTGATGTTGACAACCGGGAGGTTTGTTAATTCAATATTTCTTTTCTAGCTTACTTTGATATGGTAAATCGGATGTATGTTTTTCATACAATCGATCACGATCCGTCGGACGACTTTCAGCCCTTTGTAAGGACCCATAGCGGAGACTGTGGTACCTTGAACCAACAGATAACAATCTGTTAGAAGTTCGATGGCCTACATTCAAGAAACCATTTTTAGCTCAATCCTCCTTTGAAGTACTAGATGTCTAAGGATCTGGGATTGGTGGAGTCGAAAATAAGAACCTTGAGCGTGCTGCCCGATGGCCCCAATATTCGCTGTCGTCGTTTGACAAATCTTTCTTTATTTCGAATCACATTTCCGATCTTGATCACATCACAAGCTACATTATCATCCAAAATCTTGACAGCCTGTGAGAAATTGAATGAGAACGTTGGTTCGATGAGATCTGAAATCGATGGATGGATCAGAATACTTGCGTACCTGAGTAATTGGGACACTTCTTGCTAGTAGTTTGATCAGATCTCGAGCTTTGAGTATGATGTATGGATCGACGGTTTTTCGGGTAGTTTTCACGGTCATTGATCCCTCTACCAAATTCAATACGCATGTCACGCCCTAGATGATGGGAGATGACATAATTCTTGAATAATCAGTGGAATGTTGACAGCGATAGGAGAGATAATCAATACTGACATGTTGTTCCAAGACTTTAGTCAAATGACTCCAGATCTCCTTCAGATACACCTCACGATACTTTGGAAATAGGGTCGCAAAACTAGATTCCTCGGTAAATGGTTTGATTTTCTCTTTCTCTAATTCGAATGGTTCAATCTTCCAATGGTCGATATCATCTGTATCCCATGGCTTATCTTTCCGGTGCTTCTGCTTCTTTGATTTCTGAATCTCATTAACTTCTTCATTGATATTCGAGGTTGTGATATCTGAATGGGTGAGGAGTTATTGTGATGTTAGCAGGATGCGGGGTATTTTGAACCTACGTGGATTGCATGCTTACCCTGGACTGGTTTAGCAATCGCCATGATATGATGAGTAGTTGGTTCCTCGCCGGTGGGTCGTCCAGTGGAGCCTTGGGAGAGTTTTCTGCCCTCCAGAAGTCAGAAACTGCAAATTGAATATTCAAAACGACTCAAAAGCAAACAAGCCCCCTGCAAGCTCAAAGATTTATTATTCTGAGACTGTTTGATCATCAGGTTTGGTCCCAGTGCCGCCTCCCTTCAACAAAACATACAGTTGTAAGAGGAGTCGTATGCTTATCTGGCACGTTATTTTTTGTTAATTGCCTACATCTTGATAGAAGGGGAAAAGAAATGTGAAATTTGATTCCGAGCATCCCAGCAGCCATTTTGCGGCCACCACCTTTAATGTCAGCCTAGCTGAGTAGAGCTCCTTCGACCTCGGAGTCCTAACACCACACATCTCTAGTCTCAAATGGGCTTGATGGAACCGTGTCTTGGCTCAATCCAAACAAACACACTGGGACACCTCCTTCATTCAAGCAAATCAGATGCATCGAGACACTCTCTGTTAGCAGTGTTACCAAACTGGCATCTAACCCAATTGAGTCAAATTGGCATGAAATGCTAATCAACCAGTATTGATACTCTTCTTAGTGATACCCTACAATCTAAGGCAATACCTAATAAGCTTTGAATCTAGATAATAGAATCATTCTGGACAAGGAAGGAGTTAGAAAAAGAAATGAAAGAACAGAACAAAGAAGACTTTTTTTTTCTGTATTTTTTGTATTTTTTAAAGCCAGGTGACAAAATGAAAATATATGATACCAGAAAGTGCAGATCTATTTTTAAAGAGAAAAATACCATTGGCCATCAATACTAAAAATATGACAAAGCAGAAAATATGGATAGATAGAGAGATGACAACCAAGAGAAAGAATAAGTATTTAGGAAAATGATTTAAGGGGTTAAGGAGTCCCATAAACTTTCTAATACTATTCTACTTCAATTTTCTATTCAATTTATAATCTGTTTATTTGTAATCCTTTTCAGTTTGTTTTGCCCTTATATTTTTTTTGTTAAATTCAAAATCAAATGATATCTAGTCTTCTTCATCTTCATAGTAACACACAACCTTATGACCCTCTGGTATAGGTCCTCCCCTATAGGTTGGGTAACTTGACAAGCTGTGTTGTTTTGGTTGAGACCCAAAGAGGTTCCAAAAGCCTGAGTAAGATTCTTGTTCAGATTGTGGGTACCCGGGTGCACCATACATAGGAATCTGACCATGCATGGGTGGTCCACCATACCCAGGTTGTGGGCCATAGGATCCATGTCCATATTGTGGGTGTCCGGATGTCCCATGCATGGGTGGTCCACCATACCCAGGTTGTGGACCATAGGATCCATGTCCATATTGTGGGTGTCCGGATGTCCCATGCATGGGTGGTCCACCATACCCAGGTTGTGGGCCATAGCCATACCCACCATACCCAGGTTGTTGTCCATAGCCATACCCAGGTGGTGGTCCATTTCCACCCAGATTGGCTGGCATTGTGGCATGCCCAGACTGTGGTGCTTGGTGGGAAGATTGACTGATGGATGGTGTTTTTTCTTCAGAAGAAGATTCCACAGTTTTCACGGGGCATTGTGGACAATCTTTCTTGTTTGCCAGAATGAGTTTATCAACACATTTGTGGTGGAAAATGTGGTCACATGACCAAATTGTTGATTTTTGAACTTCCTTCACTTTTTTCCCACAGAGTTGACAAGGACCAATACTCTTCTAACAATATTCATGAACCAAAAATTTACAGGTTGTGAGTGCTTTTCCCTGGAATTATGTGAGAAAAATGATAACTTACTGCACGTTTGGAGTGGCGATGTAAAGTATTTGGTCTGGAAATTGGCACTGTGTAACTTGAAGATATCACTGAAGGAGAAGCAGATATTGCTTGTGGATTTGATGACTGATTTAATTTATCTACTTTTCCCGCAAGATCAACAGATGTTCCAGCAGTTGATTGATAAACTGCTTGAAGAAGCTTCAAAAAATAAAAAAAGCACAAAGTGTTAGATTAATTATAGTCACTTGTGTGAAAAGATGACCTCCCATCATTAAATCTGAAGCCCTTGAAGATGTTGGTTTGGAACTGAAAGGGAAAGTTGTTTGTGATAAACTCTAGCCCTCACAGCTATAAACAAATTTGTCAGGCTTCTAAAATTATGATGGGAAGTCATCCATTAATAGGAACAGAAAAAAGAAAGGAAAATGCTTCACAAGAAAAATTGTTGTGTTGAGAAACATGGCAATAATTTCAATCACAGAGATTTCCAGATATTTGCCTGAAAGATTGGGTGGAGATTGTGACAAACAACCAAAATCTTTCATGCCTATTTATAGTCAACATGGCTGCTTTCAAGTAATTCCTGTAGCAAAAGCTGATCAAAACTTTTTCTTGTCTGGCTCTGCTGTCAAATAGCTGTCAATGATGACTCTGTGTCAAAATTATGCAACTTGTTTGAGAAAAGTTTGCTTGGCTGACTCTTCTGTCAAATAGCTGTCAATGATGACTCTTTACCTAAATTACGTAACTTGTTTGAGAAAACTTTTTCTTAGCTGACACTGCTGTAAAATAGGTGCCAATTATGACTCTGTGTCAAAAACAAATTGTGGGGCTTGTATTGTACTGGCCTAAGAACATCATGGTAGCTCTCTTTTGATGGGCAAACCCAGTCGTTCATTAGTGATTGAATACATCAGTTTCAGAAAAGTTTGGCAGAATAGGCACAATTGTGAACCCTGCCATCTTCAATATTAGGTAATTTTAAAGTTTCTAAATCCTTGATTCAGATATCACTGTAAATTTACTTTAGCACTAAGGGGTATCAAATATAAGAAATACACAATTAGAAACCATCCAATAATCCAAAAACATTTGTTTTTGACCAATGGGTGACTGAAGAGGGAGGATGAAGAAACAAAATGTTAAAACAACAGTGGGTTTTTCAAAATAAGTCAATCACATAATGGTGGATTTGCCTATATTCTATATCCCTATCAAACAACATCTGGCTCAATAACAGTGGTGCTTCCAACTTAGTGAATTCCCTCTAGGTGATTTTGAAATTTTTAAAACCATACATCAGATATCACTGCATGCGTGGTAACTTGAACCTTACACAAAATTTTACTCAAGAAAATTGGTAAACATATCTTAATAAATACCCTCTGTATTTGTGCCCAAGACAAGGGACTTCATTTGGTTAGAGGCACCAATATTCTTGAGCCAAAGTTGGTGTAATGTTCAATTTACTGTAAATAAAGTGATCACTGATGTCTGAAGCAGGTATCTTGAAATTTTAAAATTACCTAATATAGAAAATAGTGTGGTTCACAACTTGACTTTTTGTTTCTTGATACAATGTTTCAAGGTAGTGAACTCAGCACTAAACCTCACCTTCAACTTCTCACTTACTGTAGGTTTCCAATGTGATTGTTTGAACTAGACAATCAAGTCTGAATATCCAGGATGACATCATTTTGATATTTTTTGTGAAAGAAAAAATTATCAGTATCATGAGCAATCCCTGGTTTCACAGCATTTGATTCTGGGAAATTTCAATTGTGAGCCCCACTTATCAAATATGTCAATGTTGGTTTTGTGTCAAAATTGTGTAGTGGTGCAGAGGCTTGTATGTACTGGTCAAAGGACACTGTTTTCCCCACTCTGTCAGATTCTATGTATTGTTCAATTCACAGTAAAATTTCACATGAACCAGGAGACTGTCTGTAGACAAAAATAACCAAAAAGCTATTTTTATTTGTAGAATTCATTCATTTTTGAGCCCATTCAGGAATATATGAAATTCATGTGTGGGTCAGCACTTCCTGAAAAAAAAATCTAAGAATTCAGTTTGCATATCATATTGGCAAGACCTGTAATTTGAAAATCCTCATACATTTTATTGCATAATTTTTTTTCTGTCTGAGAAAAAAAATCATTTTTGTATGTACAGTGGGTGGACCGTTGTTTTTGGCTGCTTGTTTTGGATCCCAGAGCTACAAAGCACCGGATTAAAGTCATGAGACTTGGTGAAGTGGTGCAGAATAGGTCGCAAAAAATGAATATGAAAAAATAAAAACAAAAAACAAAGTTTCAAATTTTGTGAAAAATAAAAAATAAAATTGATTTTTTTTCAAAGCTTTGATATTCATTTTTGGCGAGTGGGAAGTGCTGAGAGAAAGGTAGATTGGCATATTTAAGAATGATTATAAATGAAAATGTGGAAAAATTGGTTTCCAGATGGCTTCAAACAGCTGTTGAGTGAGGCATTCACCAGCCCACATTGCAGCAAAGCACTAGAATTTACTGTTTTGGCTCCAATCTGGACCACCAAACCTGGCTAAACCTTTTTTGGTTCCAATTTTTTTCATTTACAATCATTCTTCCCATGTTCCATTCTTTCTTTCTCTCAGCACTCTGACTCCCCCAAAATGAATATCAAAGCTTTTGAAAAAAATCAAGTTTATTTTTTATTTTTCACAAATTTTCAAAATTTATTTTTTGCTTTTATTATTTCATATTCATTTTTTGGGACCTATTATGCACCACCTGACCCAGTCTCATGACTTCAAGTTTGTGTTTCAGAGTGCTGGAATCCAAAATAAGCAGCCACTTTTCACTGTCTACCCACTGTACCATTTTTTTCTTCTGCATGTAGGCAAGAATTAAGCTTTTTTGGGAAGAAAAGAAATCTGCCAGACTGTGGGCTGCAGCCAGTTAAAGAGTTTGGGGTTGAACATGGGTAAAACTTGTTTTTTTTAGCCAAAAACTGGCACCAGTTACTGCACCCAGCACCATCTGGCTGGTACCAGAGGTACTTTGGGTGGGTACCAGCAACGGTGGGCCAGTTACACTAATTGTAGTGTTAGTGCAGCGTAGTGTTAGCTTTTTAAGCTGCACTACAAAAAAGTTACTGTTAGAAGAAATGTTGGCCCACTAATACAACAGATTTTTTGAAAAACAAAAAAAACTTTAGTGTAGTTTTAGCTGAGTTGGAAAAATTCCAACTAACACTAACCAAAACCCTTTTTAGCACAATTTTAGTGGTGTTAGTGGTTGAAACCACTACACTACAGACCAGCATAACTTTTTGATGAGTTACACTTACAGTTAGTGTAGTGGCTCCCTCATTTACACTAACATTTAGTGTAACTGATCCAAAAGTTACCCTAACTGTTAGTGTAACTGAATATGTAGTTACATGACCACATGACTAGTGCTAGTCTACCCTGAAGAAAGTGCCTGTTTCCACAAGCATCTGTATCCTAGTTGGTAAAGGAAGCACTCTGGTATGTGAGTCAGCATAAGTTCATAACTGAGGTCATGTGTTTGAATCTCACCGGGCACATCCTTTGTTTGTTTTCTCTACATCTTCTGCTGTTCATTTTCTGTGGGATTGTGTGCAATCATAGGAAATTGAAAATAGTCACTATGGACCTTGGCCATATTAGTCATATGAACAGTTCATGACACAAGTTGTCCATTGAAAACAGCAAGCAGAGGAAGAGGGTTCAAGAGCATGCCGGGCTGCAAGAACATAAATTCTCACTTGACACATCAATCTCTCTAATTGATGAGTTGCACTACGCTACACTAAATGTCAGCGTCAAATTAGTTACAATATCTGAAAGTCAAAATTTTGTTAGCACAAAAAAATTTACACTACCTGTTAGTTTAGCTGAGATTATTTGAAGCTAACACTAAAAAGAATTGAGAGAAAAATTTACACTACGCTAGCAGTTAGCTCAGCAGGGTTTAGCGTGAGCTAACACTACAGAATTTCAATTAAAAAAAGGCCACTACACTAACAGTTAGTGGTCAAATATTATAGTGTAGTGTAGCAGCCCACTGTTGGTACCAGCTGTACTCTGGCCTCCGTGCCTGATTGCCAGAGATCTTTCTAGTCACCCTGGTTGAAACCTATCAGGTCATCAAGGAGGTTCCTTACCAGCAACCTGATGCGCTACAGCAATTTTTAGCGGTTTTTAGGGGTTTTTTGCCGCTAAAAACGCTGTAGTGTAGCCTAACGCAGAGTAGCGGCGCCAGCCGCGCGCTCAAACTACACCAAAAATTGGCTAGTGTTAGCGCCACTACAATTTAGCGTAGCGCAGCGGCAGTAGCGGCGCGCTAACACTACACAAAAAAATGGCGCCACTACGCTAACGCTACATGGGCCTGTAGCGGCCCACCTCTGGTAAACCTAATAGCCGGTACATTTCTACTGGCCAAGGTCACTGTCACTGTCCTTCCCAAAGTGTTCAGTGATTCAGTAGTGCAGTTAGAGACTAGAGTTCCAACTTTAATAGTAGGACATTGCATCAGTATGCCTCCCAAACATCCAAAAAAGCAGGCCGCACAAACTATAGATACCTCTATGACCCCCTTCAAAATCAATGAAGATATGCCAGTCATATCTGAGTCAGCTCCGCAAACCCCAACAGCCACAACTCCTTCACAAAAAAGCGCACTAGAGGACCCATCCAGCATGAAAGTCGTCTTCATGCCAATACCCTAGGGGCTCTTGTCTGCGGTCAAGACTGGATTTGACAAGAAGA